GTGGCTGTCCCAAGTAGTGCCAGAGTCTAGTGTTATTTTGCTGTTCTAGTCCTTGGGGGACAAATGACTTCCTTTCAATTTATTTTAACCTGAACTAGTTACCTAAGAGCACATGTGCCCCCTCCACCTGGTATAGATGAACACATGGGCAGCAAAGCAGTCTAGAACCTGTTCAGAGCAGAACTAGCAGCAGAAGCATGACTCACCAGGGAATGCAATGGAACAGCCTGTCAGCTAGAAATCCTGAATTTTGATAAACACAGAGAACTAGATTTTCAAACACTGCAGAAAGCCAGGCCTACATGATGGATCCAGCAGCTCTTCCGAGTTCTTAAAAATGGCAGTACCTCCCTGCAATGCCTCAATGGACAGGGCTCAAAGATGCACTAATTTCCATCTCCTTTTCCCACTGAGTGAGTTTCTACTAGGAATCAATCTTGGGTGCCTGGAAAAGAAAACAATTATGGCAGACTTTGGAAGGCAGAAATCTCCAGCCCTCCATTACTTCACACTTTTCCATACTTCCATGTGAATGCTCTCAGCACATTTTCCTCATTAGAATTCCACAAAAGTTTAGGAAAACAATCATTTTAATAATGGAACAAAAGCAGCTACAGTACTGAATTAAGCCTGTAAAGAGAGAAATTTTCAACTTCGGTTTTTAATTTGCACATCAGTACAAATTTACAGGGCAGGCCAAAGCCCAACCTATTACCAAGACACCTTAAAATATGTAAAAGGTAATACTACTCATTGATTGAGGACCAAAAGTCTGAGTACAAAGGAAGAGACTGTTATTGAGTTGAATGCTCCCAGGTTGAGTCTGGCCCCCTTTGCAGCACATGTGGAGGGACACATCTGAATCTGCAATGGGATGGCCATGCCCTCCTCATGCAGTCTGGCACATACACCCACTGCACTTGAGAGCCAGAGAGGGAGGGGAGAAGTCAGAATCATCTTAGACCGCTTGTGAGACCCTTTTGTATACAAACCACTACAAGAAAAATGAGGCATCTGGCCATTATTGCAAAGGGTATGTCATAGGAGAGGCAAGTGACTTAAAATTTGTGATGGAATGCACTGGAAAAACAGAATATGGAGAATGCAACACTGCCTGACTAACATATGTTCCTGGTGCAAAACACGTAGGATGCAATTTACCTCACATGTGAAAAATATCCGCTCTGTGAGATAATCTGATGCACATCAGAATTCCAATTGAATCTTAGAAACTATGTAGAATATTACAGATTTGATTTTTACCCACATATGAATCGTGTACAATCACAGTTAAGTTCCCAAGCACCTGGCAGGTTCCCAAGTTAGAAATGGTCCATGTAGGCTCCCTCAAATACAAACTGTAGAGAAGGAAGTTCCCATCTTGAATCACCTTCTGGAAGGCTCTCTTACTGTCCCTACTCAGAGCTCAGAGGAAATGTTAGGATATAAGCTACAACAGGTAGTAAGACTACTGCAAATTAATACTAAATTATTAAATATAGACACAGTGGCTGGGGCCTTTCCAAACCTAGGTAATAGCTAATTTGGTCTGAGTAAGAAAAAATTTCAATGAGAAACCGCAGCCAAGACCATGGATTTCTTCTGGAGAAAAAAGAACATCCTCTATATTATTAGATTATTTTTCTGCTAGGAAAGTTGATCTAGAAGAAATGCAAAGTGCCTGAAATAGAAATTCTAGATGCTTTTTTTCCTTCTCTGGTTGGAGCCTACTTAGTCAAAATGCAAAGTCATACTCACAGCTCCTATGCCATTCTTCAAGCCAATAAAAAGAAAGATGCCTGTTTGCCCAGGTTGTAGCAGATGATATACAAGCTAACGACATCCTAGCAGGAGAATCCCAAAGCTCCATATTCTCTGTGAATGTGTAGATATCATAACTCCACCTCATCCTTCTGGGTGTGCTAGCAGTGACCTCAGTACAAGCTCCCTGAAAGGAAATTCTTTCGATGGGGTGACGGAACTGGTTCAAATCGCACACTTTGTGCTGTATGCTCTATAAATAAATCCTGAAGAGTTATATTTTAAGATTTCCACAACAAGCTTTGATATAATACTACCCTGGTTTTGATTTGGGGCTGGTGGAAGGGAGGTCTGTGAAGCCTCCTTCAAGTTCAAACACAGTATCTCGCTACAGTTGCCTATAGATTTCAAAATCAGGAGGCACTACATGAGCAATGGGACATTGGCATGCACTGCAGCAGAAAACAGGAAATGTAATTAAACATAGAGCCATGAGGTAAGTTCTTTGGCAACAGAAAGAGTGCCTTGGGAAGCAAATGGCAAGGGCAAAGCACTATGAAATGGCAAAGTAACATGGTTAAGGCAGGGAATGAAGCACAGGGGTAGAGATGAAGAAACAAGGTGGAGAGGAGCAGAAAAAGAAGCACAAAGATGGAAAGTGACAATAAGGGAAAGAAGGCAAAGCATATAGAAGAGAAGAATATACATAGGGGGGAAAAACTCTTAGGAATAGTTTTACTCTTAGAAGTTATTTAGTAAGGGCAGAAGCCACTTTGTTATGCAACAGGGTTTGCTTTTCTGTATAGGAAGAGATTGTTTAAGCTTCTATGAAACCTTAAAAAAATTAGTGAGAGAGAAATAGAAAATAATAAGGAAGTAACATCATATTTCTTTTGACTTTAAAATTGCTTTTTAGGTCACATTTCACCCTTCCCTCCCAACCTCCAAGTATTTTCCAGGATGGAATTTTCTTCTTCTCACTCCAGGATTTCGCGTGGGCAGAGCACTGCAGATGCTGCTGAACTCAGAAACCAAGAAACTGATTCATTTTTTCCTTGAATCTTGTGCTATCACTTAGACTGGGAACAAACAAATGTCAAAGGCTCCAAGTTAGAAACTAGCAGCCACAATTTTACACAGCCTGACCATTCATTTTGTCCCAGAGTAACAGCGGTACCAGAGGGAGAGTAAAGTTCTGAATCCCTGCTAGATTGCTAAATATATAAGAATAATTATTTTTTTCTTCTGTTCCATCAGACTTGTGGTCTAAAACTCCTCTCAATTTTAACCATGTGCAGATGATCGGTTTTCTCTAAGGTAAGCCCAACAACCATTATTCAACATCGCTGAATAAAAATCCTTAGAATGAAGACAACTTCATCAAATCTATGAGCAAAGGCCTTCAGACTCACTGATCATATTCCACAAGTCCAGTTTCTTTTCATTTCAGCTGCTGGTGCTGTACAAACCCACTGCTGGGTATCAATTCAGTACTCAGAAAGGATTCTCAGAACAAATCCTGTGGAATCATATGACATAGAAGGAGCTGCTCCCAGAATAATTGATACTATGTTTATATTTTGTAAATCTGAGGCCACTTGCAGTAAGAAAGTTTCTTTCCGTACTTCATCTTAGACTTTGAAACAAACCAAAGCTCTAACATTTTAAAAGGTTAGACACATTTTTTACTCCCACCATTTCTTAATAAAACACCATTTGTGTGGGAAAACAGCTTAGTGCTTACTTTGAAAACAGGCAAACCATTAATTAATCCAACATGTTGGCAGTTTTAGAGAAACTTACTAGAGAAGAATAAACTATGCTGCATCTTAAGTTTTAAAACAGCTTGAGCCTTACTTTGAGGGTGCATAAGTATGCCAAGCTCCTACTACTTTATACTTCTTAGGATATAATCTGTGATACTTAAAGTAGCAAGAAGTATAATTTGAATAGCTGCTAAACCATGGGCAGGTTATAAAACACAGTTTTAGGAAGCTCAAGAGGTTATGAGTTGCTTGTCTCACAAAGCCAAAGGAAAACATTAAAAAAAGCCCCATCTTGCACCAACTGTACCAAAGAAACAATACCAGTGGTTAATCTCTGAAACAGGCTGGACACAAGAGGTTCCAAAATCACTCCTTTTGCATCAGAAGTATTTTAGCACTATGGTTAGGCAACAAATTGCTTTTTAGCACATTCAAGCTAGCTAGTTTACTGTGGAAATGTAACGTGTCATTAGAATAACATCCTGTTTTGCAGCATTTCTGTATTTCAATTTACCCCAACTCTACTAAGATTCAACTGGCATGAAATAGCTGGGCAGGATTAGTTACTGGATGGAAACCAAGCTGAGATTTCGCAATAGGTGGCATCTTATCTCCATGGCATAGGCAGCTGGTATAAAAGACAAGTGACCCCTGGCAGAAAACATTGTCCCTAAATATAAATCTGGTGAACTGTTTCTAAGACATTATTTCAGATCAAGCACTAGTACAGAAACAGTGGGGGTTTTTTTTGTGGGCATAAGCCAGGGTTTAGGTTATTCTGAATGACTGGATTTTGACTGGGTTCTAGTTGACAAGCACATGTTGGGACCTGACCACCCATGTGCTGACGCTGCAAGCACAAACTCCACCAGAACATTCACCTGGGAGAGTGAAACACTCCCTCCATTCCAGTCCTGGACAACATATCTGATGCTCCCACCAAATCAGACACTCAACATTCCTACTCAATCTCACAGCTTTTACATCATTGCAGCCAAGACGGTGGACACCGTGTTCTCTCCTTTACTGCACCTCCCGATAAGCCTGCACCACAACACTGCAACTTCTCCTCTTCCAAAGTTCTCAATCGCACTCGATCCCACGCGGCACCTGCCAGAAGATTCTCAGGACACAACGAATCACAGCGGGATCAGCGTCCTATTCCTCTGACTAGACCCAAACTTTGCGTGCCCCAAACTTTTCAACCCTGGAGCACCGGCATGCATTGCTATGGATATCTTCGCAGCACACCCATCCTTTGCCATGGCAGCATGGAGAGGAGCTCCATGGACCCCACGACGGGCACCCACCACGCAGCAACGCCCACAACCCATCCTGCTCCCCGTCAGGAGGTGCGAGAACACCTTCCCGCAGCAGCTCCCACACCAAGGATGCGGGAGGGCAGAACGGGCTGGAAAAGGGGCGTCCATCCGTCTGTCCCCCCAGCACACCCCCGGGGGTGGCGTGGCTCACCTGCGTGGGGCATGGTGATGGTTTCGTTGGCGTTGCTGGAGCCCACGTTATAAATGACGACGGCGGAGGCGTTCTGGGCGGCGGCGTGGCGGATCTTGTCCTTGTAGGTGCAGTTTCCCCGCGGGATCAGGGCCACCCAGCTCTTGCCCGGCGCCGGGGCGTTGAAGCGGGTGCCGGGGTCGCAGGCGTAGCGGTCGGCGGGCGAGGCGGAGAGGGCCACCTGCCCGCGGGCGTCCTGCTTGGGCGACTGCTCGCCGTAGCGCCCGCACTCGCTCTTCTCGCTGCGGAGCTCGGCGCTGCCGGCTGCCGGGTCGGCGTAGGTGATGTTGACGAAGGCCGTGTACCACTCCTCCTTCTCGGCCACGGTGAAGTCCAGGCACAGCAGATGCACGAAACAAAAGGACAGCAGCCATGTTGAGAGCGCCAGGCTGCGGCACGCTTGGATCACAGACATTGCCATCTTCATCTGCCGGCCCCCCCGCCCTCCCTCCCTGCCTCCCTCCCGCCCGGCCGCCGCCGCCGCTCCGTGTGTGCGTGCGCGCCCCGAGCGCCGCTCCGAGCGGGGCCAGCGAGCGGGGGAGGGAGCCCTCCCCTCTGCAGCCGCTGCCTAATTCATGTCGGGGCCGTTTGATTTCCTCGGGCTGGCCCCGTCTCCGCCTTCCCTCGTCCCTCCTGCCCCTTCCTCCCCTCCCTCCCTCGCTCTGCCCGCGCAGCTGCCTCCCCCGCTGCTGGCAGGCACGGCGCGGGGGGAGCTCCCGACGCGCACACGGCGGCGCAGTTCCCGGTGCGGGCTCGGCCCCGGCCCGGCCCGGCCCCACGGACGCGCTGCTGGCGGAGGAGGGACTGCCGGCCGAGGGGCTGCACTCCGGGCCCGTGCAGGGACTCCCGGCGGAGGGGCTGCCGGCGGAGGGGGCTCCAGGCAGAGGGGCAGCGCTGCCCGGCTCGGCGGAGAGGGCTCCCGGCGGAGGGGGCTGCTGCCAAAGGGGCTCCTGGCAGAGGAGTTGCCGGCATAGGGGCCCCCCCCAAAGGGGCTCCCGGCAGAGGGGCTCCTGGCAGAGGGGTTCCCGGGAAAGGGGCTGCTTCCAGAGGGGCTCCTGGCAGAGGAGCTCCCGGGCTCCCGGCGGAGGGGGCTGCTGCCAAAGGGGCTCCTGGCAGAGGAGTTCCCGGGAAAGGGGCTCCCGCCGGAGGGGCTCCTGGCAGAGGAGTTCCCGGCAAAGGGGCTGCTTCCAGAGGGGCTCCTGGCAGAGGGGCTCCTGGCAGAGGGGTTCCCGGGAAAGGGGCTCCTGGCAGAGGGGTTCCCGGGAAAGGGGCTCCCGGCGGCGGCGGGAGCGGCGCGGTGGCGCCACCTGGCGGCGGCGCGGGCGCGGGGGGCCAGTCCCGGGGCCGCCCGTGCCGGGATCCGGGAGTCTCCCGGGATCCGGGAGTGTGCCGGGATCCCGGAATCTCCCGGGAGCACAGCTCGGCGCCTCCGAGCGCCCGCTTGAGTTTTGCTCCGGCTTTCCCGCTTTTCCTGTCTGCTGCAGGAGACGCTGAGAAGTTTGCTTATGTCGGTATTACAGTGTAAGGATGGCGCGCAGCCCATAGGGGTGGTCGTTTGTACAGAGGTTTTTAAGAACACGCCGAATACGTTTCCAGCTGTACTTTCCGGAATGGGAAGGACAGGCGAATTTACTAAAATCAGATGTGGCTGACAGGAGCACAGAAAGCCTCAAAGAACGATGGAGCTGCTCCCTGGAGGCAGTTCAACGATGTGCTTAATTTTGTTTCGGTGAAAGCCCAGACTTGGGGGTTTGCAGTGTATGAAACACCCCAAAAGAATTTTGGCCATGACTGACACCTTTCAAAAGGATCAGATCACAGCTGGACTCTATGTCTGTCTGTACTAGTGCAAATGAAGGCCAAAATTCCACTTTCCTATCACTGTGTTCCATAAAAAAAGAATGTCTTACATGATTTATAGGTAGTGCCTCTTGTAGCCCGTTAGTAAAACCTGCTGCTAGAAATACCATTCACTTTCATTCAATGAGTGCCTGAGTATCTCACTCGTGTCAATATTTGCCTCGTTCCAGATTATGTTCATAGCTGCCCATGATCCAAACAAACAAGCCCTAACCATGTTTTATACACACACATGCTGTTTCAAAAAAGTTAATTCCCTAAAGCTGAAAAAAGTGAATTTGGGAGGCAAATGTGAATAGGGGAATAAAATAGAGAAGTTTACAGGGAAATATGGTAATTTACCAAGAAGTCTACCATTAAGCAAGAGGAAAATTTTCCTTGAAAGCCATTCTTGAATAAGCAAAGTCATCAAATGTGAAGAAAAATTACTGTGTAGAACTAACATTGAAATGCAAAAGTAGATGGCAATCAACATTAATTAGAAAGTGTTGAGATTTCATCAGGGAAGCAAAAGCCCTAAGGGGAAAATCCATGCCTGGAGGGGCTATGGGTAATAAAGCATTTGTATGTTTAGAAGTGGAAGGAGAATTATTAGAAGAGAAGGCTAAAATACATATATATATATGTTTTTTTACATAAATACTTCAGGATTGTTTTTGGAAAGAAAGAGAGGAAATGTTTGCTAGATTATGGACTAAAAAAAGAAGTATCTCCTAAGAACATATGAAAAACAGCAGTCCCAGAAAAATGGCACACATGTACCAATAAAATACCAAAAGAAGGGACAGGAGAACTGAGAGAGTAACTATCTTTTTAACACTTCAAGTAAATCTTGGCATAGCAGGAAAATCTTGAAAGATTTAGTGTTCAGTTTTCTGATAAGGTTCAGAAAAACTAATTACAGTGACCAGTTAGTTACAGGCTGATTAGGCTGACATTAACCAACTTGAAGAAAAATAAGAGAGAGAGGAAAAAAAAAAAAGTACGGGCAAAGTGTTTTTATGGGAAGTGGCCTGCCAAGCAAATATGGTTCATGTTTTTGTGAGGAAGTTATCAGCGTGGTTAGTAAAGTTACACAGCCACATCCATAACAGGTTTTTGACAGGTGTGCTATTCAATGATACATGACACTCTCATTACACTGTAACCTATTAGGGACCAGATAAGACGAACTTAGTTAAAACAGAATGTGCTTTAATGGAGCTTAATGTAAAAACACATCTCCAGGTGACAAAGTGCCAGCCACTCTGGAGCAGTGTGTGGTTTACTCTACACACAGGGAAGGGTGTGGGGTCAGAGTAGGAAAGAATTGTTCTGTATTCCTAGGGAAAAGGGGCCTAAAGAGGATACAGCTATCCCTGGATATTTCAGAGGAGCAACAAGTAGGAAATAGTAGATTTTTACTCTGCTTGAAACGCCAGTGAGACAAATGTTGAAAACTGTCCAGTTTTGGTATTTGCATTTTAAAATAGATATTGAGAACCTTGAGAAAGTTAAGAAAGGAAACCTAAACATAATTTTAAGTAGTTTCTCTCCAGGGATAGTCTTCAGGTGCCCAATCTATTCAGCTTTTCAAGAAAAGAGGTGATGTGATTACATTGTGTAAGTACCATCACAGGGATAAAACAGTGGTACTAACAGGCTCTTTAAGCTAGAGGATAAAACATAACAGGAGCCTAAGTTTAAACTAGACAGTGCAGCTCAGAGCAAAAGTAGCTGATTAAACAGTACCTGTCTACTGGAGAAAATTCAGAAGTGAGACGGTTCTGGCAAGTGAAAGACAATCTGCTCTTATATTCAAATTAAATAAACAAACACCAATCAAAAGCATGCTTCAAATGTAAGATTAATCACAATTAATTTATAATCTAGTGGTCACTTCTCACCTTGAAAATACTCTTGAATAAAGAAAACAGAATACTTCATTACTTCTGTTGCTGAAAGAAGAACTACAATTGACCAGTTCAATGCTTTGACTTAAAACCACCCAGTGTGATGTCATAGCTGATGGTGGTTCTTCCCATGTTGTTTCTGTTCACAGGAATATCTTCTCCAGAGCTCTGTTCTAGTCCTGGCACAAGGACACCATGCTTTCAAGTACAGCAGTAAATGTTTCTTGTCAGGCCACCAAGACATTTGCCACCATCCTACCCTACCCTATGTTCTCTCCTTCAGAAAAACCCAAACCTATAGAAGCATACTAGGCATTGTCACAAATCTCATTGCCCGAATTACAGTGAACAGCACACTTTTATATGCTACTGAAAATAATTTTACATTATCAGTAGCATTGGGATGAGGGGTGTATCTCTGGAATTTGAGTGTTATGTATGAATTTAACAACATATTACAAATTCTCTGCCCCGTTTTCCATGTTTCTGAAGTGACAATAATTCCATCTGAACTATCTGAACCTTGCAGAAAGCTACAAGACCATCATATTCAAACTTGAGTGTGTGAAATAGGGTTAGTAAGTAGAAGAGAAGTGGCATGTGGGGAACTCCAGCTCCAGATTCTTGATATATAGAAACTCAGAAGCTGGATTTAGGCAACAGCTCATAATTAGCAAAGCATACATTGAAATTCACTGTGTGACTATCTCTGCAATATGCTACAACACTTGGCCCTTTCATGAGGTAAAATTCATTAGTTTATACCCTTTTTGGTTTAAAAGGCAATTGCTATGCTTGCATTGTGCTGGATTATGTGTCATTTGTGTACCAAAACCCAAATGATCTCAAAGGAAATAGCAGAAATTTCTTTAGTTAAAGGTGAGGAATCTCACCAGGTTACTAAAGCCCTCTGTTATCGAATCCCATAGTGTTTTGTGGACCTTGCCAAGAGGTAAAATGGCAAAAGGTTTAAAAATTAGACTTTAAAATACTAGGCTGCTTAAATTCTGCCGAAGTGGGGATTTACCTGGAATTTAGAAATCTTCATCCAGAAGAATACTGAAGGTGGCATTACAGGATATTGGAAAAGCCCATACTAGGTGCACTGGCTCCCTTTATCACTGCAGGGAAGATCATCCAGGAAGCAATGCAGAGTGTGCAAAATTGATGCCTTATTGTATGTAGGACCTAGATAGTCCCAAAAGTCAGTCATGATGTGTTGAACTGGGCACAGGCAAAAGCAAACTTTGGGAAAATACACACCACAGAGTAGGTGAGAAGTCCCTCCTGTCTCTCCTCTGAGGAGGTTCTGATCAGTTCCCTCAGCCTTGGGTGTGACTGTCCCATGGGGTTAGGGCCCTAACATATGTGTCTGAGAGGGACCTGGGGTTAGTGCTAACATCAGTGCAAGTCTTAAGGTTTCTTGATGCTGATGGGCAGCAGGAAAGCTGACTGAAATACAATCTGTGTGTGTGCTCAGGAGAAGTTCTTTTGCCTTCCCTGGATATTAGACTGAAATTGATTCTTTTCTACAGCTAGAGAAGAGCAGAAGAGATGTTAACACTGAGAGACCATGCAAATGCTAAAACAATACCATCTCCTCATCTATTTGCTGCCAATACTTTGGTTTGAGTCACCAACCCCACTGTGTCAGTTCATTTTGAGAGTTAATTGAGCCATACATCTTTTCTTTTCCTAACTGACACTGATAATACTCCATCCATCTTCCTATTCATATGCTAATAGCTATATTACCTGTCACTTCATTCCAGAATCCTGCCTTAGATTGGAATACTGCTTAATTCTACTCTAACATTCTCTGTATCACTACAGTTGCCACTGTCATTCTGGTTTCATTTATTTAGGTACATTTGAAATGTTCTTGAGAATACTTTGACACTTTAAAGAAAGTTTCTGAGTCAAGTCCCAGACAAAAAGGGATCTGTGTTACAGCAAAAATAAATTTCTCACTGGAGCTAAAGGAAAAGTTCAATAGAATGTATAGGGAAAGTAATATTTTAATTTAAAAACTATGAAAATAGTTCAAAGGAGCCTTACCTTCTTTGATCTCTATTTTCATACTGAGATAGTGTTCCCTGTGTTCCAAAGGCA